AACAAATTTTTATTAGAAATAGTAAAAAAAAGTAAAAATTCAATATTTTTTCTGAAACTAAATACTTTTAGGAACGTTTTGGTCAAATTTCAAACAATTTCACCCACTAGTTTTATTTTTGTAACGAAATACGAAGAAAGTGACATTACCTTCTCTCTCTCTCTCAGCTCGTAGCCTGAGGCCATAAGATTAAGTGTCATAAATACTTGAAACCTAGTAAGATAGCTACCTCTTGTTCTGATTCCTCTTCAGATTCATTCTCTGACTCATGTTCCTCTTCTTCTTCCTCTTCAGAAGTTTCTGCTTCACTATCTCCACTCTTCTTTTTTGTCTTTGTGGACTTACTTCCTCTCCTAGTTGTTTTCCTCTTCCTTTTCTCTCCTTTGTTGCTCCTTCCTTTTCCTTTAGATGATGACCCTGTAGTTAACATGAATATACTATTTCTATTGTCAAATTAAAAATTAAAACGTAAAGGTTAATATTGCAAAGTAAACATAAAAATGTATTTAAACAATTACCATGAAAATTATCAATGTCAAAATGTCTACATAACATGGATAAATATTTCATATGCTACATAAAGAGAAAAATAAAAAATAAGAGAAAAGCATATCAAAACCTACTTCGTTTTGGTCTTGGAGTTGCTTTTCCTGTTGCAGCTGGCTTCATTAAAAATGTCATGAGCCTTTCAATCAGTTCTTCTTTGGTTCCACTTCTCTCTATGTCTAACGTCTCACACATGTGCTTCAACATGGCTATGGTAGGCCTGGATAAAGACAAACACGAATCTGATATATATCTTAGGCAAATAACCTAGATATATAAATACATGTACAGTTTAGTAAAAACCACAAAATACAAACAGTTATACCACAAATGAAAGGATCTAGGAAGCAATCATATTTTTTGTGAAGATGCGTAACTGAATGATAGTAGGGCCACCAACATCAGCAAGTTCACTTGAAATGCCAGTATTCATAACAAACAGAATGACAATGCACTGGTTCCAATCACTTTATAAAACAACAGCTTATGTATGACCAGGGTGCCCCAAACAAACAGAAAAGACTTTTCACACAACAAAGATCAGCATGGAACTTTCTCTACATCACTAATACTGCAGAAAAAGTGCAAGCCTACCTTATAATATCTGAAGTTATCTTCATAGCACGGGCTACAAAGTACACAAACATAAGCCACTCCTCACTCCAGGTAATACTGCACATTGACAGCAACGGACATCACACACCCCATTTTACATAATTCTTGAACAATGGATCTACTTATGTTTAGCAACTAGCCTCACAGGGACTTTCACCGATATATCCATAAGCTAGAAGAAAACAGTGTTATTTCTGTTATAATGCATCATTTGGGCAGCTGAACGACCACAGCTGTTCATATTATGTGGAGATGGGCATTGGTGCATAACATCTGACAATTTTCAACCATGTCTGATCACTATACCTTCTCATTCAGTCTGTCCTATCAATTACCAGATAATAACACTATCATGCTTCATCCTTGATCATTCATTACAAAAATATCCCAAACAACTAATTTCTGGGAACACTGTTATCCAATCCCCAAAAAACAACTTCTGGAATACCATTATTCAAGTTTTTTTTGTCAGGGTTACGGTGCAGTTGTACAAGCTCAGATTCCAGATCTTGTAAATATGATGTGCAACTGTGTTTCTGCCTTAAATATTGCAAAGGGTACGTCCAATAACACTAATGGTAATCTTGTACCCTTTATGTTTCTTTATTATTGGCAACTGATCCACTAAAAATGTTGCAGCTAAAAGTTTCTGTAGGGAGATACCAAGTTTTTTTTTTACTTTGTTTTGTGGAAATATTGAATACAAAACAAAAAGTGATTGGGACAAAGTTTGTATTAAGTTTATGTTAATGAAATTTTGTCTGCTTTTAGTATATAAAATGAAACTTATCATGAAAAATCTGAATAGAACAATGATACTGAATTTCATAAATTTTGCATAAGCCAAAAAATTTAAAAGTGGCTGGGAATAGTGTCTGTTTGTTCTTGTAAACCAGGTTCTCCCTCAGCCTAATCCTGTATGCATGTTATACAAGTTCAAAAAATAACGTCTATATAATGGAATTGAGAAAACATCAGTCTCAAGAATACTATTTCAAAACTACTGACAATGTTTCATAATTCTCTTATAATTACAAATAACCAAAAAAATTCATACCCACTTTCACCCTGCTCCAAACTTGAATCTCTGAGAAACAAGATGCAACAGACTTACAGCTATTTTTTAAAGTTTTTATTGCTGATTGAAGAATAGAAACAGTATTTGAGAAAGAGGACAACTTCAGAATAAAAAATGTTTTTATAACACCAAACACTTTGGCTTACACTTTTTTGGGGCTCTTTGAGTGTCAGAGGCTATAAATCTGACTTATAAATTACAATATAACAGAACAGTGCTCCTTGATACATGTTATACGATATAACAGAACAGTGCTCCTTGATACACGTTATACGATATAACAGAACAGTGCTCCTTGATACATGTTATACGATATAACAGAACGGTGCTCCTTGATACATGTTATACGATATAACAACAGTGCTCTTTGATACACGTTATACGACATAACAGAACAGTGCTCCTTGATACACGTTATACGATATAACAGAACAGTGCTCCTTGATACATGTTATACGATATAACAGAACGGTGCTCCTTGATACACGTTATACGATACAACAGAACAGTGCTCCTTGATACACGTTATATGATATAACAGAACAGTGCTCCTTGATACACGTTATACGATATAACAGAACAGTGCTCCTTGATACACGTTATACGATATAACAGAACGGTGCTCCTTGATACACGTTATACGATATAACAGAACGGTGCTCCTTGATACACGTTATACGATATAACAGACAGTGCTCCTTGATACACGTTATACGATATAACAGAACAGTGCTCC